AGATAATTACTTATTTTTTATTTTTATTTTTTTATCAAGGTGTAAATAATATTTAATTTTTTTTATTTTTAAGATAAATATTATTATAATTATTAACTAATATAATTAACTAAAAATTAAATATAAAGATTTTTATGATAATAATTAAAGTTACTTATATCTTGTTAATAAAAATAATATTTATTAAATATATTTAATACTTGATATAATTAGATCTTTTTATAATTATCACACTTGAAAAAGCAGAATTAAATAATAAAAAAGAAATATAACAATAAAAGATTTTTTAATTATAATTAATTAGTAATTGAAAAACTTAAAAATGATAACTATAAAAAAAGATAATTATAAAGAATATAATTATAAAAAGATTTGATTATATTTATTTTTTATATAAAAAAATTTTTTATTAAAGATATTAGTAAAATTTTCTGACTTTCATAAGATATCTAAAAACAAGATTGATGTATTTATTCCAGTTTTTTTTTAAGCAAGTGAATAAATATTAATTGAGAGAGAGTTTAGTATCAGATTCTTCAAATATAACAATAACAAACTGTCATTGATTTATAGTTTTAATTTTAATATCAGCTATTATACTAAGAAAGTGAATGATATTTTTAATTTTATCAATTATAATATTCAAAGAGATATTATGAAAAGAGAGAGCAGTTTTGAATTTAGTGACAAGAATGGAGATCAAGTTGATCTTTTTTGAGTGAAAAAGAGAAATAATATTGCTATAAGATTCAGCAAAGTTATAAAGAAAACAAGAAAAGAGATTGATAATATTAAGAAAATTATTGTCAGTTAAATATATTTTTCTTAGCCAAGCAGATTTTAAGACAGTAGTGATGGCGAGGAAGATAGAATAAGAAGAAGCATTTTCTTCTAGTGATAGTTGTTCAGTTATTGTTATTTTGATGAATTTGAAATATCATAAGAAATAGCACTAACCTATTTTATATATAATACTGACTATCATATTTACATCCATGTAACTTAATTTTTTTTGTAATTTCGCGCTTTACATCAGTTTCTCGCTTTATTATTAGATCTGTTTTTTGTAAATTTATATCTATAAATTGAAATAAAAATTATTTTGTGTATTTTCTGTTGTGCCATGAACACTTTACAAAAAGAAGTTTCTCTAAGGGATCAGCAAATTGGTAGGTATTCCTCGAACAATCTTGTATATTATACCGAACGAGTCTATCTTAAAATTACGTTAATTTTCCTTGAAAACAAAATGGTATTACCAATCGTTTAGATGCAATTATTACGATGCTAAATCTGAACGTTAAGCCAGAGCCTAGCATCCCTGTTGCATCTTCAGACCTAATGGTGGTTCCCACTACTAATAACACACCTGACTTGGTATGGAAAGTATTGATTTTCGATGAATTCGGTCGAGATATTATTTCTTCTGTGCTAAAAGTGAATGATTTGCGTGAGAATGGTGTTACGGTTCATATGTAAGCTATGCAAATTTTTTTGATGTTAAAGCCAATTTGTTCATTTTTGATCATGTTTTTCACTTTTTGTGGTGTTAATAAGGTTATTGAAAAGTGATCGGCAGCCGATTGCAGACGTGCCTGCTGTTTATTTTGTTGAGCCTACTTCTGAAAATATTCAAAGAATTAGTGAGGTATATATTTCTGTCACATCTTTATCGGAATTTATTAATTTTATATGATAAACTTCAAAATAATAGGATTTATCTAGAAACTTATACGAATCATATTATATCAACTTTACAAACTCAATACCGCGGCCTTTACTAGAAGAGTTAGCAGCCGCAACAATATCATCAAACACATCACATTTAATTGCGCAAGTCTATGATCAATACTTGAACTTTATTCTATCAGAGCCGAATTTTTTCTCATTAAACCAGAAAAATGTTTACTATACATTAAATGATCCCTCTGCTGCCGAAACCACAATTGAAAAAACAATCGATCGTACAGTGAGCTCATTATTTTCCGTGCTAGTGACAATGGGTGTCATCCCTATTATAAGATGTCCTCGTGGGAATGCTGCCGAAATGATTGCTCAGAAGCTGGATGGCCGACTTCGTGATCACACATTAAACTCACGGAACAATTTGTTTGCAGATACTGCAGCGACACTGAGTTTTCAGCGGCCGGTATTGATTATACTTGACCGAAATATCGATTTAATACCGATACTTAGTCATTCGTGGACTTATCAAACTCTAATTCATGACATTTTGGATATGAACTTGAACAGAATTACCGTACAAGCGGAGGAAATGGGCCGGAAAACAAAGAAAAGTTATGATTTGGACAGTAAAGATTTTTTCTGGGCAAAAAATGCTGCGAGTCCTTTTCCACAGGTGGCCGAAGATATTGATGTGGAATTGAATCGGTATAAGTCGGATGCTGCCGATATAACAAAACTAAGTGGCGCAAGTTCATTAGAGGATATTGATCAAACTGATATCGCTCAGAACACTCAACATTTAAAATCGGCAATAACTGCTTTACCGGAGCTCACAGCACGAAAACAAACATTGGACATGCATATGAATATAGCCACTTCCATATTACAAGGTATCAAAGAACGTCAGCTTGATACGTTTTTCCAGCTTGAAGAGTCTATAACGCGACAAAACAAAGCATCACTGCTTGAAGCTCTTAAAGATCCAGAGAAGAAAAATCCAGAAGATAAACTTCGATTGTTTATTATTTATTATCTTTCTGTTGATGAAGTTCCCAAAGAAGATTTGGTTGAATTTGAGGCCGCCTTACAAGCAGTTGGCTGTGACTTAGCCGCACTGAATTATGTGAAAAAGTATGTACGTTATTAATCATTGATGTTATTCTCTTTTTATTAATGTATGTTAAATCGGTGATCTTTAGGGTGCGGGAAATTACTCGCATGAGCGTGATGACAAACCCTGTGTCACAAAGCTCAGGTTTCGGTTTCCAAGGTTTTAGTTCGATAGGAAACAAGGTTCGTAATCAACAGAGATGTACGTATTAATGAAGAATATTAATAATGTTGACCATCTTTTTAAACAGTTAACAGATCGCCTAAAAGAAGGTGGTTTAGGAGGCGGATTTGAAAATTTAATCTCTGGCGTGAAAAATTTACTACCGACACGCAAAGATTTGACAATGACCAGAATTGTTGAATCAATCATGGAACCAAATACAAACAGTGCACCTGAAACAGAAGACTATCTATATTTTGATCCAAAATTAGCTCGTGCTTCCAGCACCAAACAACCCCGACATAAACACGTGTTTCAGGAAGGCATTGTTTTTGTGGTGGGTGGTGGAAACTTTTTAGAGTATCAGAATTTGCAAGAATTTGCTCAGGTAAAATACTTTTATTTTGAATTTCTTTTCTTCTTTTTAAATATATTTAAATATATTTATTTATTTATTTAAACAGCGACAAGCTCTCAAAAAGAAAATAACTTATGGGTCGACAGAAATACTAAATCCCCATTCATTCATACAAGAACTAGCAATGCTCGGTTGAGTTTGAAAGCATGATTTTTTATCATGTCATTCACATTCACAAAAAAGTTATGTTCAAATTTCATTATTTTACACCAAGTTGCAACACCATTAACACGCATAAAAATGCAACCTCCCAGAAATTTCCCTGTAGAAACAGCATAATAAATTAATAAATTAAATTTTGAGAGCGCTCGATCGAGTAAGCTTAATATTGTGTAATTTGGAAATTTGGAAAAGCCACGTAAAACTTTGATCCAAATATTTGCACAACCACTTGTCCCTTGTATTCTTTTTCTAACAATATTAAAAAATATCTTATACTCCACTCCCCACTCCCATTCCTTCCCCTTTTGGAAGTTTTCTGATCGATATATGCACAAAAAATGGTAATACGTCTAGTTGTCCTATGCACAAAAATCGCTGGGCTTTAATACCTCTATTCTCACAATAGTCTAGTTCATCAATCATTCTAGCGCGCGTCGTAACGTTAAACTCACAATCTTAGATGTTTGTTGATTGTTTTTTTCGTGTGATTCTCGTGACCAAGTCCGTTAGTCCACGCGTCTTGGCGAATTGCGTGCATTGAATTTCCAAAAATAATAACCAAATGCACATAACGATAAAACCTGGGAATCCTTACAGCATAATTCGATATTTTTCAGGTGATTATTTACACTGCCCAAAGGAGTATATAATAATTACAGAAAAAAAAAGTAAAAATTTCTCATCAAAAGAAATTTACGTAATTCAAAAATCTGTAATTGATTCTTGTACATTTTTACGACGTTTATATAAAGAATTCTGGTCTCTGAGCACTAGGCTTGAGCTATCGGCCCTTGCCACCAGGGTGCAAAGAGCCTCAAATTACGTTTTTTTTCGTTGTCAGTTTTAACAAAAACCCCTCGCTTGCTGGTCATAAAAATCGTAGTAACTGCTTTTTAAAGTTATTTGGAACCAACTATGAATACAATGAAAAAAGAGGAGGATGGTAACACTTATTTGTTTCCTTTTGTTTGTTCTTCTATTTATAAAGTTAGTAAGTAACGTTGCAAAAACTAACATTTTTCGCTTCCGTAGGCGCTGGCAATCCGAAAGTTCCAGCTGATCAATTTGAAGATAAGAAAGCTAACGCGAAGGCTGTAGCAGAATCCTCGCACGTAGTTCCTCAAGCAAAGCCCGAAGTAAAAAGTTCAGGACACCAACATCATGCAAGCAACTTAATTAGTGCGACACTTCAAAAAATGTTTCATTTTGATAATGTGTCTGGTCAAGCGAAGTCTGCGAAAAGTTCAAAAGCTTCATCAGGAGGCTCGGAATCCGATGAAGACGGCAATAAACCAGATCATTCATCAGTTTCGACGTCTGTACCACAAAGTGCCAGTTCTGCTAAGAGTACGACAGCTCCAAAGCTAAGGTTTCAAAAAGCAGCTAATGGCACGCATGTTCATAATCTTTCACCAAGGAAAACGCATCGAATGCAAAGCCTATTTAAAGAATTTGGTCTCAATGCTCATGTCCCGGTGGAAGAGCAACAAACTCACCATGTGCGACCATCTTCCCGTAATACCAGTACTGAGGGTTCCCTAGCGGAAAAATATGGAAAATGTCAGGAAGTAATAGGGAGGGGTGTGTGTCATTATTAAGAAACGGTGAGTCGCGTTGATTTGGATATTATTGTAACTCGTATGTACAATCTTTTGTTTTTATTTTCTATTTACCAATGTAGGTGCATTCGGTATTGTTCGTATTGCTCATAAAACGGAACCAAAAGTCCCTGGCGAAAAACTATTTGCTGTCAAGGTTCTTAATTGTGCCTTAATTGAGGCTCAGATCGTTGTAATATGTACTAAAAATCTATTTTTGTTTCATGTTCTTTTTTTGTTAGGAGTTCAAAAAACGAAATAATGAACCCAATAAAAAATACATCAAACGTCTTACTTCTGAATTCTGTATATCTTCTTCACTTCAGCATATTAATGTTATCGATACGTTAGATCTTCTTCAAGATACGCAGGGAAATTATTGTGAGGTTATGGAATATTGTGCTGGCGGTGATCTTTATTCTCTTATTGTTAATTCTGGTTGCTTGGAGACTGAAGAAGCAAATTGTTTCTTTGGTCAATTAATTAATGGTGTCAAGTACCTACATGATAATGGGGTTGCTCATCGGTATGTATTTTTTTTTTTGAATTTATTTTCGTTACTATTTTATTGAACCATGTATACTTTCTGTTACTTTAGTGATCTCAAACCTGAGAATCTCTTGCTCACTTCAAAGGGATGCTTAAAAATCACCGATTTTGGCAATGGTGAGTGTTTCCGCATGGCATGGGAAACACGAGCTCACCTATCACGTGGTATTTGTGGCAGTGAGCCTTATATTGCACCCGAAGAATTTACAGAAGTCTGGTTTGACCCTAGACTTGTCGATGTGTGGGCCTGTGGTATTATATATATGGGCATGATAACTGGACGACAACTATGGCGAATCGCCAAGGCTCAGGAAGATAATAACTTCAAAGTATATCTACAAGCAAGATCTCATGGCGAGACGTTAGCACCATTTCAAGGATTGTGCATTGTAAGATATTTAATTTATTTGAGCATGCTTTTCAAATTCAAATGTCAGTTCCTAACCGTTCGCTTATTCTAGAGACGACGTCACATAATTGGCAGGATAATAGAACCGAATCCAAAGCAGCGTATGACCGTGGAACAAATTACAAAAGATCCATGGTTTGCCGGACTTAATATTTGTTGTAAACCTCCACCAAACAATATTGGTTGTTCTATAAATCCTGCCAACGTAACATGTGGAGCCAATCTAACCAGTGATCAACAAATGACAAACATCAACAATAATAGAAGTGTGGCTAATATGGTGCTATAGATTGAGAGTGATTGGATTGATTAACAATGCACATCGTGACTTTGTTTAAACCTTTATTAGATTTATTTGTATATTTTTTAATTAAGTTATGATGGTGGTGGTGGTGGTGATGATAATAATTATTATTATTATTATTATAATATTATAATGTTGGATCTTCGATCAAGCTGACTTTGGCTTATATATCCCCCACAAACACACACTTATATGCATGTATACATATTAATGTTGTGCTAATCTATTTTTTTATTTTTTGGTTCTTATTTTTAATATTATTCAATATTGTAAATATTTTATAATGTCTTGCTGGCATAAGAAACCCCCAAAATCGATCATTTTTTTTTTGATCGAATTATTTTTGTAAATAAATAAAAGCACATCATTAAGCATAAAAAATTATACGTTAACATTAAAGGTAATACAAGTGACAAAGCTTAAATACTGATGCACGATACTAACAATGACGCATACTCGTCTCACGTATTCTGCATCGGATATCGGCAAAATGATTTTACAAGAGGAAATCCGGAAATTCAATTTGATTTGTAATCCAGTCATCACCTCACTACGTATAATTATGATAATCCTAGCAGAACAGAAAATTTTCCTTAAAATACTTAACTATATGTGTATATATTTCGGGGAAAAAATTGCGCGAAAGAACGATCGTTTGTGAATAACAATATAGCTTATTTCGGTTGGCTTGCTCGTTTATTTGCTAAGTTCGTATTTGTTCCACCACCATATATTTAAATTCAATAATATTCAATGAATAATTTAACGATTCCAAATCTCTTGGTGCCGCAATCTCCAACGTCACAGTCTATCACCGATTCCTCTTCAATGATATCCAACACGTCACCTTCCTCCCCTTCTTCAGTTGGTGGTGGTGGTGAGGACACCACCAAGGCCGTGAAAAGGAAAAGGTTAACACAAGCGTGCGACGCCTGTAGAAAGAAAAAAGTAAAATGTAGCGGTGAGAAACCCAGTTGTCAGAATTGTCAACGACTCAAAGTCGCTTGTACTTATATTCCTAGTACGAAAAAACGAGGGCCTAGAGTAGGTCTCGTGGAAAGTTTGGAGAAACGGCTTCAGCAAATGGAGAAACTTTTACAACCGTTAAAAGAACAAGGACTCGTTGATGACATAGAAGATAGAGATATTCCGTCAACTTCGACGAAAAGACCTAGACTCGCTTCGGCAAGCTCTAAACATAATGCTGACTCTCTTAATGGAAGCCAATCCCAACAGTTTGATAATTTAAACGCTGACAATGCCAAACAATTTCAAGCTCCTAATGCTGAATTTGCTAATGTCAATGTCGATATAAAATCTTTTGGTGCAATTTCCAATTCAGGGTCATTTTACAAATTATCCCAAACCAGCCAAAATAATATTAATAATAATAATAATCAGCACATCAATAACAACAATAAAACCAACAACAGCAATAATAATAATAATAATAATATTTTTTCTTCGCCGCCTTCGGGTTTGTTTCAGATGATGAGCCGAAGTCCCGAAGATCAACCAAAGAACTTCATGGAACTCCCTCCATTATTAACACCACAGTCTGGCTCTCCTATAAGGCAAACTACACCTACAACACCAGTATCAAGTCAATGTCACATTGCTGAGAATAAAACACCACAGACAACACCTCCACAACAACCTCAACAACTATCACCGCAAACCACCGGTCAAGCAACATCAAATGAGAAGGACCATGAATCTGAACTGGACGTTCTCTTATACTTTGGAAGAACTGCTGCCAGACCTGGATTCCGTACCTGCCGGGAAATATTTGGGGGTATGAATTATACCAATTCCAATACACCCGCTCTCCATGATGCATCATCTGCTCTATCCAATAATGCTTCCGCTTCCTTCACTTTTGGTTACTCTCGAGAAGTTAGTTCTGTTTTTTTCAGTCCTTCAATTCCCCGAATGAAGAACAAAGAAAATTTACCACCAAAAGATGTCATCATGCATTTGGCCGATTGCCATTTCCATTATTCACATACACATATGCCAATGTTTCATAAAGCAACTTTTTTACGTCGACTCGAAGAAAATAAAGTTTCGCCATTTCTAATCTTTGCATTGTGTGCTGCAAGCGCAAGGTAATAATAACAATAATCTAATTATTATTACTACTATTGCTGGCAAGTAGATAAAAAATATTCATGATGAAATATAAACAGATTTTCGGACAGGCCGGGAATCATTCGTACTCCGCGTTCTGAGGCTGGCGAAGAATATGCAGAGTTCGCTAGTGAAATGATTTTGGATAGTTTTGACGAGCCTACAGTCGAGCATTGTCAAGGTATTTTTTTGTGAGACAAGAAAAAAGCCAATATAATCATGTTCTGGTTTAAAGAATTCAAATCATATGATGATTTTTGAAAAAGATTAGACCAGACCAGACCAGATCGGAATTCAATAGGCTTTTCGTTTTCAAGAGTTGTTAAATAGATTAATAATAATAAAATTGATAAACATATAGCTTTATTATTGATGGCTTGGCATCATTATGGTTGTAAACGAGGACCAAGATCATGGATGTATGTGGGCTTAGCTATTAGGTAGGTAGATTCTTAATGTTTAACTGAACATGATTTAAATAAATACAATCTGGCATTGATAAATTATTTTATTTTTAGAATGGCACAAGAATTAGGCTTACATAAAGAATTCGAGGGTCCTGCGTTAGGCAGTTCTCAAAAAATTGATAGCGAAGCCGCATTTATTGACCGAGAAGTTAGACGTCGAACATTTTGGTCCTGTTTTGTAGTTGACAGGTAAATATGATTCTATAGAGTTAAAAATAAATGCTACGTAGTTCATTGATTATCTTTTCATCGTTAGATTCGCTGCTTGTGCACTTGGTCGTCCTGCATTGATCGATGAAGCCGATATTGAAATACGATTACCAATTCCGGACCGTGATTGGGATGAAGAGCATCCGAGGGTGGTGGATACAGAATTTGGAGCGTTGAAAAAAGTTGAAATCAAAAAGGCTGGCCGCATGATACTCGAAAATAAGGGCTTATTTGCTCTTTTAGTTAGTGTAGCGGCATTGTTGGGGCGCGCAGCACAAAATGTCAATCGATCAAAACCCAACGAATCACTACCTCCATGGGATCCTCACTCAGATTATCACATTTTATTGAATCAAATGGAGAATTGGTACAACGATCTGTGTCCAAACATGGTATGGTCCATTGATAAGCTAAGAGAACATCGCGAGTACAATTTAGGATCAGGATACGTATCAATACATTTATTATATTATGCAACTATTGTAATTCTAAACCGACCACATGCCAGTACACCACAAAATGACGTTCCAGTAGATTTTATGGAAATTGCCGCAGATCGTTGCAAAAAAGCTTCACGGGCAGTTTCGGAAATTACACACCAACTTTTGTTAGCCGATTGTTTTTATGGGTGTCCTTTCTTGATTTATCCGGTCTTTGCTGCATCGATAATTCATATCGACGAAGTGTGCAAAAATTATGGCGAAGATTCTGATGCAAAGAAATATTTATGCTTAAATTTACAATTTTTGAAGGCGATGCAAGATTGGTGGGCGATGGCCACAAAAGTGCATTTTATGTTGAAGGAAATGTACAAAGACCAAAGCGAGAGTATGAGCTTAGGATGTCCATTTTCTTCTTGTGATGACAATAACAACAACAACAACAACAACAACAACAACAACAACAACAATAATAATAACAATAATTATTATCCAGAAGAGTACCCATCTAGATATCATTCCGATTTAGGATTAAGGGATTATTGGAATCGCCCAGATTCACCGTCAAGACAGAGTCCAAAGATTCTTGATAGACGGGAATTAGCAATAACAACAACTGCTAATGTCACACAACCCTTCTCTATGCCAGACTCAAACTTCGGTATCCAATCAATACTGCTGCCAAACGATTTTATGTCGTCCCGAATTTTCCCGAATGAAACCACAAGTATACCAGAATCATGGTTTAGTATGCTCAAAACTCCTTCCCCGCGTCTTCTTTTCCGGCCAAATACAAATAAGAAGGATTTTACCGAAAATGGAGAATACATTGGAGGCAACGATTATTTCTCACTTTACAATGCCGAGATGCCCACTGGGTTCTCGTACGATGCATTATTAAACGATGCCTTGAATAATGATCAACTATCAATGATACCGTTTGATCTTCTTTCGCCTGGACGAGCATCGCGAACAAATACTGTGAAATATATAATGAATGAAACAACTATTAATGCAAGTGATGAACAAATATCTACAACTAGCAATACCAATAGTCAAGTTGCTCAGCAACAATTTAACGAGCAAAATACTTTCTCATTAATGTCTACTATTGCGCCACCATCATCTCAAACTGTCCTATAATACAGATTGGTTCTCTTGGCACCAGGCTATTTTCATTCTTAATCCTTTGACGGATAAAAGATCGATGCTGGCGAAATGAACATTATATATTCTTTAATATAATCGGGAATTTAAATTAGTTCTAAAATGTAACAAAAATAATTCTTTAGCTTTTCTCTGTTTTATTTTCTTGTAATGTTTTTATCTATTAAATTATTTTCCGGATTTGAATATTATTTACAACAAAAACTACCGATATAGCATTAACTTTATTACTACCATGCTTTCTTTACAGAATACAATTTCACTTTAAACATATTCGACTTGCAAAAAAAAGATGTTCCACATTGAAAATAAGAATAGTTCAAAATCCTTTATCGGGGAGGAATCCTTATCATTATCAAATTAATTTATTAACTTCCACCTCTGATATCCTTAATACTGTATAAGGTTGTTTATGCGTGACGTGTTTAACATGCCTATTATGCGGTTTCTTTTTTAGCTTCACGACGAAAGGCCCTAATGGTTGTTCCAACACTGTAGCCTTAATGCTGTAAAATTGCTCCGCGACGTATGGATTTCCTTTTATAGTGAAATCCTTGGAGCCCAATTCAATAACTCTGTTCAATTTAATCTCATCGCCAACTTTTACATCACGCAATCGATTGGTGATTACCTGATCGTTTTTCGTGACTAGAAAACGACGACCGCATATTTCTACTTCTGCATAATAACGAAGTTGATCACGCAGGCGGGTGACCAGAGATTTTGTGGTAGCTGATAGAGTGATGGGCGTTTGAGAGAAATCATTTGCTTTCGGTTTTTGTTTAACACGTTGAAGTAGAGGAGACGGTAAAATTGGTGCAAGGATCGAGCCACGCGACGATTTTGATGAAGAGCGAGATGATGATTGATTTGAGCGATGTGTTGTTGGAGATCTGTTTATGGCATTTGGAGAGCGTGAGATTGATGGATATTGAGATTGGGTTACGGGATGTGGAGGCGGTGGTGGCTGGTGATGTATGTAGAAATTTGAATCTGGGTTTTTGAGGCGTTGAAGATACAGAATTTCAGCGATCGTTTCTGGAGGGCGTGAAGCAGCCGCCTTTAGAGGATTGTGCTTAACGGGTTTGAATTTTTGCTTTACAATAGGTGGAGAAACTAGTATCGGGTCATCGGTAATGGTGGTTGACGAGGTTGAAGTATGGGACCCTAAATTAAATCCAAAAATGTTGATTTTGGTTTTTCGATCAAGTAAACATGTTGATTATATGATACCTCTTCTATTTTGTTCTACTTGTTTCTTCTTTTTAGTGTGTAGATCCCTTTTTCGCGTGGCATTCATTATTACTAGATTTCTTGAATTCGAACCTAGATTCGTTGCATGTTTTGTTGATGATGTGCCTGCAAAAACGACAATTTCGTTTCGAATATGTAATTAAATAGATAAAGATCATTACACATACGTAACAAGTTTCGAAATCTTTAACATTATCCTGGTGGATAAATTATAATTTTTCTAAATTCCTGTTTTTTCCCGTAAACTCACCACCACAAATATTAGGATTGATAATATTATTATGACAGACTGATGCATGGAAGTTTGATGATAGTAAAGAAAATGAACAGGAATTCGAATAGGAACACAGAGAAGTAGACGAATTGGATAATTTGAATAAGTGACGATATGAACGCGGTATTGTTAATGGTGACATTCTTGTTATTATGAAAGTTAGAGTATTTGTTGAAATTTTTTTGTAGAGATAAGAACCGAAAATTAAATCCGGTTCCAAATCTTTAAAGCAAAAAACTAGAAGTCAGAACCAGATTTAATCTTCTTATCGTAAATCCGAATTTAAAACGGTTTTAGATAATATTTGGAAAATTTGGATTTTGGCCAGCATTAAGAAAATTAGGCCCATCGAACAGCTATATACACTGGTCCATGTAAAACCGTTACTCTACACCGTATTTTAGTTCTAAGCGCACTATATACTGCGCAGCAGCTGAACGGCACATGAAATGTGAAGCATAATCTGAATGTTTAACTGTATATTGTAACTAAATTCTGATAATTTTGCTAAATCGGAAAAATTTTTGATCCAAATTTTTCCGGATCCGTAGTACAATTACAGTGGCCCGCTAAAGATAAATCGACAAATCGATCAATGTGTAACGAAAAAAATAAATCCAAAGATACATCATTAATATCGTTATATAAAACATATTCAAAAAACACTTTTAATTAAAAAAACGTATCGGGACTTTGGAGGATCAAATAGAAGAACTGAATAATATGTCTTGCGTTCATTGGATTTGCATGCGAAGGAAAATCGGGTGATTAAATGATTAGCAATGTAATGGTACGTTATTTATTTATTTAGCCGCTTTAATTAAATAGTCCAGGTATAGTTTTTTTAATTCACAAAAACCAGCGACACAAAAACAAAATATCGAGATCAATGATATTTTGTGCAACAAAGACCGATGCCAAGAACTTTTTATTAATAGAGTTAGACTATATGATTAAAAATAAACGGGCAAACTTACGCGAGAGCTTCAATGAATGAATGAATGAATGGCGGTGCTGCATGCACATTTTCTTATATATCATATATATTATCTTAATGACAGTTTTTGTTATAGCATTGAAGGTCAAAAGAAGTAGAGTTAGTTGGCGAATGTGATAGTTTGCCGTTAATACCTTTATCATCATAACTAAACACTAGACACAATCTATGAAATACCACCTCGCTTTACGTGTAAATAGAAATCCCGAATAAAGATGATGCAACTTCACCTTACAAATGCATACCACATGAATGTGACACAAACTTTCTTTTTCCATATTTTCTATCACCAATTCATCGATAAAATTACTAGCTATAGTGTAAAAAAACGATAAGAATAGGTTTTATAAATTAAGTTTCATTAAAAAAAATAAATAAATAAAGGAATCTATTTATTTACCGATACACTATATTATCAAATGCTAACCAATTATAGATCGAGAGACAAGTCAAATTCTAACTTATCATTAAAATTATTTATTATTCTAAAAAAACACTGACGCAGGAACACAGCTTTGTTGCCTGTTCACCTCTTTTTTATTTATGAGAACTCCTCCCTTTTCTGTGCTTAACCAAATAACACATAACAAAAGCCCTTGTTCTTACAGAACTTTACGAGAATAATGAACATATAGCATTAGATTTAAATTATTAATAAATTTAAAAGACCTCTCCAAACCAATCATTACCATTCTCATTTTAGCGTATCTCTAATTATTTTTGTTAGACTTTTAACGAACATTGTGAAAGAATATTTGACTCTGAAAAGTTCTTTAACGTTTCGTAGTTTTACCTTGTGTGCGTTTGGGATTTTCGTTAATTTTCCGCCCCCAAAAAACGAATAATAAAACAATACTAGTGAACAAAAGCAAAAATGACACACTTCTCGAGACTAAAGAAGAATAAAAGTAATGACATTCTCCGCCGTCAAGTTTTGATGCGAATTCATTATTCCAAACCCTTTTCAACAACGCTTGCATTTACGCTTACAATGCTTCTAATAATACTCTCATCATTAACCTCCGAAAGTGCTGCTTTGGATGTTACTGTTGCTAATAATAATACTAGTTTCAACAGTAGTGACGGTAGCATTAGTAGTAATAACAGTAGTTATATTGGATATTTAAGTAATTCAGGCAAAAACATAATACTTGACCTTGTCAACAATGTCACTACTTTTGATATAAGAAAGGTTAGTCATTAATTTGTTTGATTTTTCCTCAATTTATTTATTTAATTAACCATCATATTCTATCAATAATATCCAGCCAGTTCCACTTTCTCTATGGAACAGCCCTCCCTCGAATTCGAATGGCTGGATTGCACTGTTCGATTGTGATCAACCATCTACCGCATCTACTGTACTTACTGCCATAACACAATCTTTAAGTAATAATCCTCCTCCAAAAGCAATTGTATTCGATAACGGATCGTGTCTCCCCACTAATGTACAAAACTCTACGGATCAGGTGCCAATCTTTGAAACAGAAAAATCAGAAAATTTAATAAATATGCTTAATCAAACCTTATTTATTCCCAATCGTACTTCCGCACAACCTAATGACAAAGGTAATTTCGGTGATAATGGTGGCTATGGAGGCTATCAATCAACTCAACCTAATAACGTTAATAGTAATAACACTGGAAATAATAATAATAATAACGTAATACAAACATATCAAACTGCGATGATAGTATTATATGCTGTTTCCGGGGTGGTACTTGGTTTATTCTTTATTGTTGTGGTAACGAATGTAATAAAGAATCGACTACGTCCTTCGCGTACTGGTATTGCAGTTAGTGGTCAATCGGATGGAAATACTCGTGGTGCTAATGGTGGTCCTGGTGCTGGTGGGGGTATCGCTCGAGCTGTGCTGGAAAGTTTCCCAGTTTATTTGTTTTCGCTTGGTGGCGTTAATGCTGTTGGAACTGCTAATGAATCGGAAAAAGAGCCAAAAGATGAAATTGATATCGAGAAAGGTTTACAAATTGATTCCGATAAGATTAATAATAAAGAGAATAAGAATGATAATAGAACAATGCAAGATGATGATGGTCTGAGATATATGGCTGTTCCTGCGCCGGAAGATTATGAATCAGAGGAAACTGCTAAAGTTTCTTCGGTTAATGAGATTAATACGACCAACGTTGAAGTGAACGATAATGAAAATGATGAAATTGATCATAGCAAAGATGATAATGATAATGATGATAATGATGGTAATGATGGTGATGATGGTAATGATGATCAAGATCGTGATGATAATAGCCATAATGAAGATGACGAAACAAATTTACCGGAAAAAATTCCAACTCCAATAATAATCCCCAAAACAGCTATTGCACAATTACAGAATTCATCGAAAACCGGCTCAATATCTACTCTTTCTGGGTCAGCATTGTCTAACCATGTGACTGAAGAACAATTGACTTGTCCCATTTGCTTGGGTGATTTTGAGTCTGGCGAAGAATTACGTGTTTTACCGTGTCATCATCAATATCATACGTAAGTATTAATTAGCGTTTGCGTCTAGGTAACGAATAGATGTAAAAAAGTTTACTTATCGAATTCTTTTATAGATCATGCATCGATCCATGGCTACTAGATATTTCCCCATTATGTCCAATGTGCAAAGCAGACTTCACTACATGGAACATCGACGTATCCGCACAACAAGGTAGCGTCGATGATCCATCAATATCCACCACCTCAGTAAATTCATCTGCTGCTACAGAAATTCCACAACAACAGTCACCTATCGACAGCGACGCAATATCACAAATTTCCTCAATAGATGACTCACCGCACGCATTCCCGCATTTCCGATGGATAAAATATCTAACAGCTATTCGTCGTGCTGGCGGAAGACGCAATCGACGAAGAAGTCGACGACCGAATGCTAGAAATTCCGCACAATCTAGAATTCAACGACAGCATCAACGTCAGCAGTCAAGTGATACTGCTGGAGGCAGCGGCGGTGTTGTTGATTTGTCTTTAAATCGTGCTAGTATGTAAATCTTATGAGATCTGGAAAATGCGGTCCATTTTATCGAATGAAATTTGTTTTTATGCCACTTTTTATTTTAATTGTCAAAGAATCTTTCCTATTCAACATCATAAAAATTTTCTGTAAATTTGATTTTTGATTTAAAAAAGTTTGTACGATTTCCTTTCTTTCAATCTTTAAACTTCTATTTAAACGCGCTTTCTGTTATGATTGGCTTTTGCTAAGAGCGAAGAGAAAAAAATTCGAAACGATTTTGTTGTATAGATTTATTATACACGTAATAAAAATTTCTTATTGAAAAAACTTTTGATATAGCACGATAAATGTATGATGCTATTGTCACCTTCCAAATTTTTATCAAAAAAATAGTCAAATAGTTATCAAACTAATTGCTATTCAAGAATTAAATAAATAATAAATCATATTAATAATCAAAATCAAGATCAAGATCAAAACAAGAAAGTTACTATCAAAATAATCATTCACTTTGAAGTTAATATTATATAACTTGAAGACAAATAATTATATATAAAAAATTCTCTTACAGATTGATGACTTTTTAATAATCTATATTTAGTTTTGAAAAAGATCATTGAATTGATTAGCATTAAACTATGCAATATAATATAGTGATATCTCTCTAATATTAACATCTCTAATATTAACATCTTCTTGTTAGTAATATTAATTATAAAATGGAATTTTTTTATATATAAATTCTCTCATAAATATCAAGTTTTATAAAGTTTTCTATTAATATTATTACCATTTTTGATACCTCTTGAAAAGGTTATTTTATGATAGGTTAATAACTTTATACATAATATTTTGTCAGGATAATATATAATAAAGATATTATTAATTACAGATGAATAAGACTAATATACTCAAAGATATAATATAATAGATATTAAATTATGATTATAATGAAATTAAAGATAGATAACAAGAGTATGTTCATGATATGATTAGCTAGAATGTATTCTGGAATTATAATATAAGAAATATATTATAATAAATAAGACATTATTAATAAAGATTATTAATTTATAATATTATTATATTTAAATTATTATTTTGTCTTATTATTATTTAATTCATTAATTTATTTATTATTTATTAATTTTATTAATTAATTTTTTGATTTTTTTTATTCTATCTTTAAGATATATTACTTTTATATATTTTAAAAATTTTATAAATGACACTTTTATTATAATCCAAATATTACTTTTATTAGTATCATAATATCAATTTTGTCATGATAGCATTACTAGTTTTGCTATAATAATTTTGTTAACTTTGCTATAATAATTTCATTATGAATATTATGCTTATAAAACTATTTAAAAATATTTATCAATAATATTATCTTAATTATTATCTAATAAAATATAATTAAATAATAAAAATTTAAGTATAAAATAACTAATAATAATAAATTATATATGAAAAATCTATATCTGAATAATCAGATTAAAAAATTTATTTGTTAATATAAAAAAATCAAAAAATTTACTTTATATGATCTTATTATTATTATTATTATTATTATTATTATTAATATTATTTAAATTACTATAATATAATCTTATCTGTCATTTATGATAATCTAATCTAGTTATAAAAATAAATATAAGATAATTGATAAAATAAGAATAATTTATATTATATTTAAAATATAAGATATAACTAGTTATTATATTATTATTATTTTTTTTATTATATTCTTAATTTCTATTAATAATTATTTTAATCTTTATTTAACTAAAAATTTTATTATTTTAATATATACTCATTTTTTAAAGAAGCATTTTCTAGTTTAAATAATTATTATTATTGCTTTGATTAGAAAATTTTGACTATTTAATTAGATCAATTTCTATTATTATTATTGTTGCAATTATTTATTATACAATTAGAATTTTAACTTTTTAAGTCTTAATATAATAAAAGATAAATACAGTCAACCCTCTCTATACCGATGTCTCTATATAATGATATTGGCCTTTAGCGATAAAATTTCTATTTTCCTTTTTTCAATTAAGAAAATAATCTCTATATACTGAAGTTTATTAAGAACTACTTTTTATAACTGATAATGATGTTTGTGCTTATCTCACTAATATAAAATAGCATCTCGATTAACTAATATTCTTACTATAGCGATAATTTATTGGTATCTATATATAGATTTTTTGTATAACGATATTAATTTTTTATATAAGATAATGCAAAAAATCTAGATTAATTATTGGTTAAATCTTGTAATACAGTAGATATTATATAATAAATTACAATAATTTTTATAGTACTTTATATAAATTTGAAATTCAAGGGGTTGAAAAAATTTGATATAATTTTTTTTCTATGAATAAACGAAAAGAAAAAGAAGCAGAATTTTCCCAAAAGAAGAGAGTATGCTTGACAGTTTCTCAGAAAAAAGAAATCTGTCTAAAATATCAAGAAACTTCACGTCCAACTCAATATCAACTTGCACTTGAATATGGATGTAAAGCCAATACTATATCTGATATCATCAAAGAAAGCAAAAAATGGCTTAGTATTGATGAAAATTCTCATCTTACAAAGAAAAAATGAATCCAAGAATGTCATTTTCCTGAAATTGATGCAGCACTTATGATTTGGTTTATGCAAGCTTTACCTAAAAATATTGTAATAACTGGAGAAGTACTTCAACAAAAAGTACGTGACTTTGCCAAGACTTTCAATATCAGTGATAATAATTTTAAAGCATCAGAGGGATGGCTTGATGACTTCAAGAAAAGACATCATATCCAAGAATATAATCGATCAGGAGAAGCAAACAGTACACCACTGGCTACATTAGATAATAAACGTGAAAAATTATACTAATTAATTCAAAATTATAAATTGAAAGATGTTTTCAATTATGACAAAACAGGTAATGTCAATTTATTGTTAAATAATTTAAATTTTTTAAATTAAAATTATATTATTTAATAATTTAGGATTATATTGGCAACTTGAGTCAACAAAAACTCTTTCTACAAGTGCAACATCTGAAACAAAACAATCCAAAAATCGAGTTACAATTTTATTAACGTGTAATGCTACTGGAATGGAAAAATCCAAGCCATTATTCATTCACAAGTATCAAAATCTCCAAGCTCTAAATGGATACGAAAAATCAATATTGCCAGTACAATATTATTGGAATCGGACTACTTGGATGCAAGTTTCTATCTGGAATGATTATCTCAAAAAGTTAAATACTCGCATGAATTATGAAAAAAGAAAAATCCTCTTATTAGTTGATAATACACTTACTCATGCCATTGAAAATTCTGACATGTTTACAAATATCAAGATTCATTTCTTACTACCAAACATAACAGCTCATTTACAGCCTTGTGATGCAGGAATTATCAATTCTTTTAAGATAATATAAATTCTAAATAAAATTAATTTGTATTTGTATATTAATAAATTATTTTCTTTTATTAGGCTCAATATCGCAAATTATTAGTCAAAAATTGGATTGAAGCATATGATTTGGCATACGAACTAAATTCTGATACAATTCCACCTATGATAATTATGGATGCTATCAATTTTGTTGATCGCACATAGAGTGCAGTTATACAAGAAATGATTAAAAATTATTGGAAAAAAACGGGAATTTTATTTTCTTTACGTGACATATCTGATGTTTCCAATACTGCTAAAACACATTTGGTAATGAATTCTGAATGCAAACATGAAGATGTTCAACAATTGATTTGGTGATTGCCATTTGATGAACCAATGGCAGCAGATGAATATATTGGTATCAATCATACTCTAATTGATGATAATGTGAAGCTAACTGATGATGATATTATTGCAAGTATCCGGCCACCAGAGACTAAAGACCAGTATAATTCTGATGAGAAAAATCTTCCTGTTATTCCACCAATTAAAGTATTGGAGTCTCTGGAACAAGTACTTATGTTTTTATGAAACCTCCCAGATGACTTCGAAATTGAAGAAAAAAGTATATCCAGAGTAAAGAGTCTTAAACAGGCAATTTTTGGGTACCATTTAAAAACAAAATTGCAAGGTAATTTGGATAATTTTGTTATTCAAAACTTAAAATAAAGTTATATATTAAGTTGGTAGTTGGGTTATTCGTTATTAGCACGTGACTTTTAATAAAATTGGGGTACAAGTTTTTATATACTGATTTTCCCGTGACTTTATTATAAACATCAGTTTACAATATATACTGATCTCTTGTTATACTGATATATCAGGCCAAAAACATTTACATCGGTATATAGAGGGTTGACTGTATCACACATTGTGAAAAATTATTGTGCTAATTGAAGTATCTGAATCATACTGCTTTTGAATTTGGCTATCTATACTGTGTCATCAACAAAAGTCAGGTTAGATATATGAATTTGTATTGAATCAGATTTGAAATATGGAAATTGTATTGATGAATTATTGATATTGTAACCATGGGTAAGTTTGATAGAGTCAATTATGCATAGTAGTGAATAATAGAAGATATGCCAAAGTATAGGTGAGTGAACTTTTCTCTGGTCTAATCTATCTTTTACATGATATGGCTTTGTAAAATCATATTTTGTAAAAATATGATTGTGTTGATTCAGCTGTAAGTTTTGTAATAATGTGATGAATTTTTGATTCATTTTTATTCTATTAAGGCTGAGTTTTAGGATAGACCAGCTGATAAAGTCATAGGTATAGCGCATATCTTGAAATACATATCACAGTTCTTTCTTGTTTTCTCTTACATCTTCCATAATATTATTGATAACATGTAGTGGACTAGCTGTTGAGATGTTTTTTAGTGCTGAAAAATTGTTGTCCTTGAGAATATCATATTTGGCACATAAATTTGAGATGCGACTAGTAAGAATTCATAAAAAAAGTTTTCGTGCTGTGTCTAGAAGTGTTATTGGTCTGGTGATATCCAGGTTTCTCTTCTAGTCAGTAGGTTTGGGGATGAGAATAA